TTTTTTTTCCCCCCCCCCCCCGCCCCCAACTGTGTGTGCATGTGCCTGAGCCCATTGTTTTAAATGGCTTGCATTCTTTCAGTGATTGTTACATGTATTTATTATTTTACCATGTCAATTATAGGGTCGCTGTGTTTGGCTTAATCCTTTCCAAAAATCAGAGGAAGAAGAAGAAGATGAAGATGAAGAGGAGAAAGCAGAGGAGCCAGATGAACTACAGCAAGAAATAGGACCACCTCTTCTCACTCCACTCTCTGAAGATGAAGGTACTCTTCATGGAATATGAAGTTTTTGATAGAGAGCCACTAGGAATGTTGGCATTTAGGTAGTAAATATTTGAAGATATAGGACTCCGATGCTTCATGGAGCAATATAGTTTGCTCCTGTAGGTTAAGCACATTCTTTTACAAAATTGATCAAAAGCAAAATGGTTAACAGTATTGACATTAAAACTGAAATAATTTGGTTTACTAGTTAACAGTCTTGTTGAGAATGAAGAGAAAAAATACCTCAGACTTGCCAGGCTACTGCAAGTTCAAGACAGCTCACTACATGAAATACATTCAGCTATTTTTCCATATCTGTTTAGGTTAAAAAAAGTGTGCATGTGTAAATAAATAAACATATATACATACACATATGCACAGATATACAAGTAAAAATTTAGATCCTGTAGTGCATTACTGCAGTAAATCATGGGCATATGGGAACCTGAATATTAGATTACATCAATAGTAAATTATTTTCCTACTCTCCATTCTTTAATCAAGGTGAAATAAAACTATGTAATTTATCCATAAGTGATATAAAGTCCTTGGCAAACGAAACAGTGGTGAGTACTACTGAATTTCAGAAGCATGATCTTTTCCGTACATGGCTCTATTAGTGTTCCTGTGCTACCTACCCATACATCTAAAACACCTGTTTGAATACAGTGCCTACATGTCTTGTTTCTGACTTCTAGCTCTTCTAATATGCAACTTAATATAACCATTGCTTGAATTCTGTGAAAGTCTTGTAGCTCAGTCTTAAATACTTTGTAGAGGTTCATAAGTCAATTTATTCATAGACTGTGTGTGTTTGGCTGCCTCCAGGAATTCAAAACATCCCTGCTTGGACAGCTCAGCCTTCTACAAACCTGATCCCGCAATATGCTGTTGCAATCCTCCAGTCTAACCGATGGCCCGGAGCATATGCCTTTGCATCTGGGAGGTGAGTACCTAGTTGGCATGATTACAACACAGACTGTGAATGCTAAACACAGATACCTGTATAATGAAGTCAAAGTTGCTTTATTATTAATTCATTGACTGAATTCTAACTATTCCAGAGACTGATGGAGAAGGCCACTTAAATGTGCACAGCAACCGTAATAATCATTGGAAAGGCTAGTATAAAGTTAATGGAAGTAAATATCCAGTTAGTATTTGGGCACAGTCCTTGATTTAAAACCTATATTCTTGAGTCTGCGGTACTTTTTACAAAAAACAGCTACATTCTGTGGTTCTAATGTTCGTTCATTTCCACTGCACATGGTACAGTCATTACCTCTATGTGCTTTTAAATGGGCACTGGAGTTGGGGTCAGAAACGGGGCTATGTTACCAATGTGAAGTTGGAGTCATATTGCAATACACTGCAGTGACAGAGTACATACAGCCTTCATCATTTTAGCATTTGGAGATTTTTAAGTGGAAGATGTCTTAACAGTTACAGCAGCTAAAAAGAGGTGCTGTCTTCTAAACACTTCAGTTATAGGATATCTGCACCACAGTGACTTTTTGCACAGCAGAGTAAGGATAACCTTGACAATATCTCCACCGATGTTTTGTCGGGGGGAGAATGTGCCATCTTTCACTTTTCTTTCTCAGGAAATTTGATAATATCTACTTTGGCTGGGGTCACAAATACAGTCCGGAGAACCACACTCCCACACTGCCTCCGCCAGTGCAAGCAGAATACCCCAGCGGGCCAGAAATCACAGAGACAAGAGACCCCACTCTGGAGGAGGAACTGGCTTTCAAGGCTGCGAAGGAAGAAGCCTTAGCTGCAGCGGAGGAAGAAGACGATGAGGAAGACGTTGAGGATGATGAAGAGGAGGAGGATGATTAAAACGCAGGGGGACGACACACATATTTTTACTTTAAAAGTTTAAACATGAATTTTCATAAACTAGTCATGAATTAGCTGACCCTAAAAGAAATGCAACTGGAGCACGCCTTCCTTTTTGATTTCTGTAGGCTCTTGTTTGCAGCTGCCTTACCCTCCTTCCCTACCCGCCAAGCCCGCCCGCCCTGGCCTGAAGCTTGCATCGCTTTCACTGGAAGACGACACACCGAAGCAGCCCCTTTTTTTTAGAAGAGCAGGCAAACACAGTCTGCCTCTGCTTCCTGCAACAACGCTGCTTTAAACTGAGCAACTACCATCCACCTCACGTCCACGTCGTTTTTCTAACCCGCACTCCAATACCAGCGTAACTTTTACTTAAACAAACAAAAAAATAAACCTAATTACATAACAATGTCACTTTTATGTGTGAAAGCATACTATTCAAATGCAGTAGATAGCTTATTAAGTTACCGGCCGAGCGCTGCCGCCCGCAGGGCGTCACTCCTACGGCGCCGCGGCCCTGGCCGGCACCATCGCAGGGCTCTGGGCAGACGGGGGGCGTGTGGCGGGAGCGCTCAGGGGGCCGTTCGGCCATCTATCCCTCACTACGCTTTCCCCACTCCCCCCCCCCCGTCAGCTCTTGGCGGGTGGTACGCTCCGCCGTGGCGTCTGCCCTGCGCGGGCCAATAGGAAGCGGCCTCCGGAGAAGTTCAAACTCCGGTGGCGGTTGAGTCGCTACGTTGCTGGCCAGGGTGCGGGCGAGAAAGGGGCGAGCGGGTTGCCTCTCCCAGGCGGCGCGTGCCCGGCGGCCGCGGGGATGGCGGAGGAGGGAGCCGTGACGGTCTGCGTGCGTGTGCGGCCGCTCATCGCCAGGTGAGGCTCCGTCCGGCGGGGAGGGCCGCACCCGAGCCCCCCGCCTGAGGGGAGGCTGCAGTGCTGCCCGCGGCTTCCCTGGGCGTTGCCGTGCCCCCCCCCCCGCCGCCTGCAGCTGGGCCTCGGGGAGCGCCGCTGCCGCCCTACGAAGAGGGGGAGGAGGGAAGGGGGCATTTGTGCGGCGTCCGCCCACGTGGGGGAAGGGGAGAGCCGGGACGAACAGGGCTGGCGAGGGCCTGGGGGAGAGGTACTCGCGGTAAGGGGGCAGACTCCCCTTATAGGAGCAGAGTCCTAACCTAATAAAGCTAACAGAACATCTCCGCTTTTAGAGAAAATGCGCTAGAAGATAAAGCGTCGCTCCACTGGAAGAGTGAAAATAATACTATTTCCGAAGTGAATGGTACAAAAGTATTCAGTTATGGTAAGAATATGAAAGCAACTATTTTGATGCTTACTTTGGACCTTTGTTCCTGTACTAGTTGAACGTACCAACTAGCATTAATGACCTTAGCTTTTTGCAACGTCCCTGGACTTTGTTTCCAACTTAACTTTGAAGGAGTGCTGCTGGGGCACACAGGATGTCTGCTTTAGTCGGTACCAGGAACGTGCTTTTGAAGTCAGTGTCTGGATGGTCGTTGCTTTCTCTGTTCTGGTTTCATGCTGTAGAGTGGTTTTGGAACACACGAGCTGGATTCTTTTCATATAAATTCCAGTTAAAAATGAACTAGACTAGGGCTAGTCCAGAGCACTTAGGGAGAAGGGTGTGGGGGAACCCAAACCTGAAAAGTGCCTATTGTGGATGTTAGATCCTCGTAACTGCCTCACTTTGAGTCTCTACTGATCCATGCTCGCTACTTGTTAATATAAACGTAGCCACTACAAAGATTTTTCCCAAATTATGGATTCAATAAAAGCATGCTCCGAGCTAGGAGTTTAACAAGTAGCCTGTCTTGTCAGGTTTTAGCATTAAAACTGGTTTTAGCATTAAATCAGATGACTATTTAACGGTGTCCATCATTCTTAGGTTTTTTTGACTTGTCTGTTGTCTGTTCATTCTATCTTTCTTGGTTCTGGGTTTAATATTTCTTTAAAAAAAAAAAGTTAGTGTCAGAATTACATTTTATGCTTGAATTATCCTACAAACCATCTGATGCCCATTTATTGGATTTGAAGTCAGCAATACCAAGTAACATGACAGCTTGGTTTTGACTTGCAATACAATGGATTCACGTGCTTTATTTTAATGTATTTTTTTTTAAGATCGTGTCTTTCACTCAAGTGACAACACTCAGCAATTATATGAAGGTGTAGCTGTTCCAATTATACAGTCAGCTGTGCAAGGTTATAATGGTAAGTTTTAAAACTGTGTTTAAATCCTGTTTGTAATGTATTTCATAAGTAATTAGTAAAATTTAACCATCTTTCTAGGCACAATTTTTGCTTACGGACAGACTGCTTCAGGGAAGACATACACAATGATGGGAAATGAAGATTCTGTGGGCATTATCCCTAAGGCAATTCAACATGTTTTCAAACTTATTTGTGAGGTGAGCAATTCCATTAAATTGAAGTGACTGGAAGGACTAGTAATATTTGTGATTATTACATAAAAGTTAATTTTAGTATTAAGGAGCTTATGAAGGAAATGAACTTATATTGGACCATACATTGCAGTTGCTTTGGTAGCCTTGCAAAGATGAGTGGTTTAAAAAAAAAAAAAGATAATGGGTTTCTATTAGTCAGAATCAAATCAGAACAAAACTGAGGGGGGTTGTTAAACTTGCGAATATCCTAAACCTTGATTACAAGTATAAATGGATGCTCACTCATTAATGTGGTAGATAAGGTAATGTGAAGCTTTGTGTTTATTCTGCTATTTTAAAATGCTAAAAAATCGACAGTATTAAAGAATTTTTTAGGGGGAAGAATATGACACTAAATTTACTTATTTCAGGCTTTCAGAAGAGTCATAGGCTAATTGCTAAATGCTAATAGGAAGTAAGGAGAAGGTGTAAGTTAAAACAGTGATTTCCAAAACGTCATCGGCAGAGCACTTGCTTCTGCCTTGAGGACTTCAGGTAATTGTTATCAGTTATGTGAAATGGTCACTGCTTCTTTGAGGAGGTACAGAGTACCTTAGGGGGTCTGTAAAAGTAACTAAAGCCAAGAAAGCTTTCCATGGTACTGTAGTCCTTGAGTCCATCTGCAGCCTTTCCTCACGCTAGTATTCTCTACCAGGGAGGCAGGAGAAGAAGCAGCAGCAGCAAAGTAAGTCTAATCAAGCAGAGAGAGAAGACTAGGTATACAGAGAGGAAAGAGCCTAAGCAGGAGGAAATTAGATACAGAAATGGCATTTAAGTGGGAGAACTATTGTCATGCTTCCATCGGGTAGTTATCTTACTTTTATAACCCACTGAAAGTGATATACCATTAATGCATCTGGAAAGAGGTGGGACAGAAGAAAAATGATTCTATATTGGTAGATGCTAATGTGCAAAGAGGATGAGAGGAAAGTAAATCTGTGGAATGATATCCAAACACGTACCTTTGAGAATACTTGCATTAAAAGGTGTTTGTTGGCTAGTCTGTTATTTTTTTCTTTTTTTCTTTTTTTTTTTTCTCTTTAAACAATAGATTCCAGATAGAGAATTCTTGCTAAGAGTTTCTTACATGGAAATCTACAATGAAACCATTACAGATTTGCTTTGTGATATCAGGAAAAAGAAGCCTCTGGGAATTCGTGAGGATGTTAATGTAAGTGGATGTTATGTAGTGTAAGTATTGTATCTGCTTGGAGTAAAAGTAGTTTTTTAAAAAAAAAAAAGCTTTCAGAGGCATCTAGTTGAAAACTTTTCTGTGTCAAATTGTGTAATTATCTTCAGAATTAGCGCAAGGACACTTGCAGTAGAATAACAACAGTGAAGCTGGGTTTGCTGTTGCTGGTTTATCTCTACAAATGTTTGTAAAAGTAGACTTAATCCCTTAAGTTTTCCAGGACAGTATATTTTATTTAACTTTGGCAGCGAATACCTGGGAGTTGTCTAGCTAATAAAACTTCTACAAACACGATATTAAGCCTCTAGCTCAATGTGTTAGAAGTCTTCAACAGATATACAGAGTTACTTTAATACCATCTTCATATCATCTACAAAATAGATACACTTCTACTCTGAACATAGAACAACCATCAGACTAGACCTATTCAGTGAGATAATCAGTAGGGAAAAATAAATCTGTATTAATGCCATCTTCAATTTCTTTATATAAAGTTTTGTAGCAAATAATAAAAACTGGTGGTTTGTGGTGTTTTGTTTTGGTTTTTTTCTTTCGATGCCCTAAATGATCAATGCTTTTGGAACTTGGGAAGAAGGGAGATTTATCAGTTGTACGATTATGGTCTTATAACATTTACTGAGAAAAATACTCCTGGATTCCCTCAGAATTTGTCCAGGATATTTCCCTTACCAGTTTTATTTTTAGGAAACTTTCTAGATCTCTGTTGTTTGATTCTTGTGCCTTTAGGCTACAGTTCTGATAAAGGTCTAAACTTTCCCTGTCCCTTGTGTTCAGAGTAAAAAGACATTCAACTGATGTTGCTTCCTTTTAAGAAGGAAGCAGAATGGAATAAATACCATAATAATTGCTGCTAATGTTAACTTAATGTATTGAAGTGAGTTTTAGAGTTCAGTAAAATTTACTACTGTTTTTGCTCTTAAGAGGAACACATATGTAGAAGATCTGATTGAAGAGGTGGTGGTTGCCCCAGAACAAGTTATGGAATGGATCAGAAAAGGAGAAAGTAAGTTGTTTAGCCAATGTCAGCTGATATCTTAGAAAAGCATTGATGAATCGGGTATATCTAGAATCATGGGGTATCTCTTTGAGATTATATTCAGAAATCAGTGGTTTTCAGATAGTTTTTAAAATTGTGCTTTTTGTCTGTTGTCTCCAGTTTATCAGAATATAAGCAGAAGTATTCTAATATTGCTTTTTGACAGAAAATCGCCATTATGGAGAAACAAAAATGAATGAACACAGCAGCCGTTCTCACACTATCTTCAGAATGGTAAAAACTGTTTCACTATTAGGAGGGGTTTTATTACTTTCAAAGTGACAAAAACATTATTGCA